CTGAGATGTCCCAGCTATTTTATTAGTCTGGTTCCTGTACGTACAGAAAAAAAAAATCAATAAAATGTGTTTGCTTTTTAATAGGCTGTAATTCTAACTTCTCCCTAATTTAGTCTAGCCTTTCTCTCCCCCAAATACTAGGTTTGGCAACAGTCTTCAAGCCGGGCTCCTGTTGGCGTGGGAACATTGAAGGAAAGTCACATTCTATTCAATAAATACAGATATTGCTTCCTCGAGTCTATTGGAACAATGCAGCCAGGGCAGGCTCTGCCTGAGACCAAGTCATGGCGCCGTTTTCCTAAAGTGGTATTCACAAAGCAAAGTTTGTCCCGCCTTATTTATGCCTTATACTCTACGGGGACTTCCCCCAGCTGGGGGAACCACACCAAAGGCCAACCTTTAAAAAGGAGTCATAAAATAAAATTGCTTTTACAGGAAACTCCCAGGTACCCCCTGCCCCTCGTGTTTGAGACCCCATCTTGGTTCTGTGTCCCCTGCTCACAGCTGAGGTCATTTCTCCTACTTTCCCTACCCTTTCCACGGGAACTTTGTCTCGGCTGCAGAGTCTGTTTTTAAAGCATGCTTACTGCACATAAGAGAAGGGATAAACAGGTCTGGCTGACTCTGGGTGAAGAAGCCTGGGGCTCACCCATGGCTTTATCAAGAGCTGCTATGTGGCAGGTAGCACTGCCCTTGGCCAACAGAGGGACTGCCAGGCTCTCACACGCCATCTCTGTAAACTGCGGTGCAAACCCAAATCCAGCAGGCCTTCCTTCCCTCATCCCTCCCACCACTTCCTCTTCTCACACCTGACTGGACCCTTGCAGCCCAGTGTTCCCACACACATCATCTTGTATGGCACATAGCTCCGTGCCCTCAGACCAGCTGGCTTGTGATTAAAATGGACCACACTAGGAAGTGCCAGAGCGCAGAGCCTATTGTATCAGATTTCCTTGGCCTTTTATAGACACGCCATGAACTTTGAGAATGTGTGGTGGTGGCCTGAGACCCTGCAGGGCTGTGTTCTAATGGGGTTCAGTCATCCATGGGCTGAAGCTCTCAGACCCAACTGTGAAAACAGAAGTGTGTGGCCCAGGGTCTGGTTAAGATCTCTGACTTAACTCCCAACGTCTGAACACACCCTGATGATACTGTTGGGAGGAAGAGGGCCCAACAAGCTTGCCCATCCACCAGAGTCTTTGTAAGGATCCCCGAAGACTTCTGTTCCCTTCCTTGCTTTTTAATTTTATTATTTTTAAGACAGGGTCTCATGTAGTCCAGGCTGGCCTCTAACTTACTACATAACTAAGGATGGATGACCTTGAACTCCTGACCCTCCTCCCACAGTCTCCCAAGTGAAGTGATTACAGGGGTCTACTCTTGCCTCAAGTCTTTGTCTTTTGTCTTTCTTTTCTTCCCTTTTTTGTTTTTTTTTTTTTTTTGTTTTGTTTTGTTTTTGTTTTTTAGCTTAGACACCAAAGCAGTCTCTGAGATTATCAAAGTAATCAAGCATTATTAGTAATGGAAATCCTTTTTTTTTTTTTTTTTTTTTTTTTTGGAGAGACACCAGGCAGAACTCTGGCCCTTGGGTAACCCTGTTGTAGGAGGCCATGCATGGACAGAGAGGGAGGGCATACCTCACTACCTCACTTGGAGTCAGCAAAGATGACAGAAATGATTCTGCACCAGCTGCCAGGTGAGAAACTGTGGCACCACGATTACCCTCGCATGAGACATCTGGACAGGGTCCCCAAAACACTTACTTTAAATGAAAACTTCATTCTACCACAAATGCTAACTGATAAAGAGACCAGGAAAAGAATGGCCAGAACATTATGCCACCAGTGTTTGGTGTCCCGGATCACCTCGGCCAATGTAAGTTTTGTGCCAAGCCTTGCAAAAGGCCAGTGTCGGTAACTTGGCTGAATTTAAAACTGAGCAGGTGACTGGAAGGTGAAGGAAAAGCCAACCTGTTTCCCTTTGTCCTGGGACTAACCCAAGCTTCTGGGGGAGGGGGTCACTTCTTAGTGAGATGATCAACCAACCCCAACAGGCTTGGAGTGTCCTGGCACTCACAGAGGGGCTATTAAGGAGGTCTGACGAGGCTCGGTGTGGCTCTGGATGACCTGGGGCCTGGTAGGGGAAGACGCTCCTCTCCCGCTGTAAGGACAGTCTGACAAGCACTGGAAGGTGGAGGCAAGACTTGCCGAAGTGCAAAGACGCAAGGGCCTTCTCAACTCTCCTGACAGCCACCTTGCATTCCAGCGATCTTTACTTAGGTGACACTCACTGACCAATTCAGAAACTTTCTCCTTGGAAACTCCACCCAGATCTGACTCTGGTCTTTCCCTAGCAGAACAGACAAGGGCCCAAAAGTAAACAAAGTACTTCCCTCCCTGTGGCTGCCTCTGGCCAGGCTCCTGCCGGACTCCATCACACCAGCTGCTGAGGAATTTACTACCCGCTGACCAGCTGTTTGCTCAGCTCTGCAGGAGAGCAGATAGGGGAGGCTTCAGGAGAGGAGTGAGAGAAATATCCCCACTCAGAGACAGCCTCAGCGCCTGTATTGTCAACCCACCCTTCAAAGAAGCAGGGCACTCCTCCACTCCAAGGAAAAGCTGGTTGTTTACTGGGCTCCAGTAACGCTCTAGAAGCAATGGCACTTGCTTTGTAAACATTTTCTTTTCCTCATGCCATCACTGTACTAAATGATGCACACATCACTGGAGCACTTTCAGATGCCCTGAACATTAATAATCCTGGTCCTTGGACTCCATGGGTTATGATGGGACATGATAAACTCAAGCAACTCCATGGAGAGAGAGCCTCCAAGCACACACACCTAAAAACACCCACAGCCTAGGCAAAATAGGCACAGACTAGCTCCACCAGGAACAACCCAAAATAAAAAGGCCAGTTGCATAGGTGGTAAAGATTAATACATTCACTAGAAGGACACATGACACACTGATAAAACTAAAATGAAAGAGGCACCCAAGAGGAATGGAAGGCCTGGGTTACAGTACATGAGCAGAGTTCAGTTATCCAGGTTCTGGGCTCCATCCCCAGGACAGAAGTTAAAAAAAAAAAAAAATGAAAAATAAGCAACCTAAGACAATAAGGGGGGGGGGGGAACGGAACACAAATCGAATCCATCTTCCCTATCACATTTGAGAACCTGTTTTGGTGGAGCTTGGCTCCCCACGCATGTTAGCTCATCTTTCTATTGGGGAGCAAAGAAACAAAGTCACTCACCAGAGGCTGCCCAGCACAGAACCGCCAGCCCATCGGACCAGCAGGAATGCAGTCACTCGGAGGGGGCATCAGAAGTCACAGCTACACTGCACTGTGTTGTTTTCAATCCAAGGCCACTGTCCTGCATTTGGCCCAGGTTTTCCTGTTGTCAGGGTTATGGCTGCCATTGAGCCAAATACAAGTTACTGATCTAATGCCCTGTCATTTAGTTACGTTTTTGTTATGAAGTGTGAAATACATTTGCATTACCCATACGGCAAGATTTTCCTGAATTTGCCAGGGAATCTAATTTATATTGCAAAAGAAACTGGTTTTGAAGTACTATTGCATCCTGAATTCTTTAGTGAGGCGCTGCTCCAAAAACCTACCCCAGATATGCACAAACACAAAAGTTCCTCTGGGCTCTTCTCTGAGGCAGAAACAAAGACACCAATGCACCTTTTGAGTCCCTATCGGCCTTACTTCAAACCCAGGACCATCATCATTCCTGATAAGAAACACTAAGGTCTGATTCTGATTCTGAAAACCCAATAAGCCAGTATAACAAAAATCCCTTTCCTTTTCACAGATCCTAGATAAAACACTGTTAAAACAGGAGAGATTTTCCTAACTCCCCACAGAAGAAAACAGGTTACATGTCCATTGTTTCTACAACATCCATCTATAAGGGCACAAACTACATAGGCCACGCCAGAAGCAAACTTCAGAACCTCAGCCTTGCACAGAGAACAGAAAGCTTGCCTCCTGGTGACTGGTGGAACCTTGAAATAAAGTACCCAAAAAAATGCACCATGGGAAAAATAACTGGGGGAGACAGACAAATCATCCTGCCTCCCAATGGTGGCAAACTTCACAACAACTTTTTTAAAAGCAACAAACTACAGCATCGCAGCCCGTATAGACAAACTGTATATATTCATGCACACATATAACACACACAAGACTATCTGGAAGATAAGGGATAAGGGCTGTTTGCAAATATCCCTCCGGAACTGAGAGCAGGCCAGGGAACCCGACGACTGCAGCTTTTCAATACCTTCTCTGCACTGTCAGAGGAGGTCATTTTGCCTGGTTACTTCTTTTCCACCCTGCATCACAGGAGTTTTCTACTTTCAGATTGCTCAACTTTATATGCACAAGAGTAAAATAACTATTCAGCAACTTTATTCACCTTGGTTTAATTTTTTTTTTCCCTTATGCAATGCCCAGGAAAAGCTGACACCAAGACTGTCTTAGGGCTTGCAATCACAATCAGTAGAGAGGAGGGGGTAAAAAGCTTGTGTGATAGAACCCAGAGTCCTGAAAGAAAAGAAAGAGACCATCCTAGTGGGGCCCCTAGAACTTTTTCCCTAGGGAGACGACCCCTCGGGAACAAAAGTTACAGTTTAGTCACATGTTGGGCGTAGGAATAAGGAGAAGGGGTTTTTCTTTTTCCTTTCTTATTTTTAAGCGCTCTAATTACGGAGGTGTTCTACAGATCTGAAGACAAACTGGGTTCCTCCTACCGAGACCGGCATTACATTGTCAAAAAGAAAGGGGGGGTGGAGTGGGGGGCCCGGGAGCACAGACCGGGCTCGGCGGGAGAGGGGTGTAGCAAGGTTATGCTAAAGGGTACAGCCGCTGCCACGAGCTGCATCTCTTTCCCTCGCGCCCCAAATAATTCCCCGCAAGCCTAGCAACTGCACCAGCAGCCACGGGGCGAGGGGGTTCCGATCGCCCAAGGAGGAGGGGAACCGAATCGTTACCTTAATGCTACACTGAGCAGGAGTCTCAGACATGTCTCACAGCGAGAGGGATCAGGAAGTTCTCAGTTTTTTTCCACTTTCCTTTCCTCTCCCCAACCCAGAAACGCTCGGCGGGGCAGCGGGACGCGGTCATTTAAGAAGTTTCTTGCAGCATCGCCGGCGGCGGCCGCCCGGGGGAAGGGGGGGGGGGTCTTCGGAGCGCACGGATCGGGCGCGCGGCGCGGGGGCGTGGGAGCCGGCGAGCACGGCGTGGGGTGTGCGGGTCGCAGCGCGGCGACCCGGGCGCAGCCGGCCGGCCTCGCGTGTCTCCTCCCACCCGCGGCCGGCGCGCCCGCCCCCGCCCTCCCCGCGGCGCTCGCTCGCTCGTTCCCTCCCTCCCTCCCTCCCTTCCTCCCTCCCTCTCTCTCGAATGTTTTCCTTCCTGGAAGAGAGAAACTGAAAGGCAGAACTGAGAAAGCTCTCTGCTCATTGATCTTGAGAGTTTCAGGGCAGAAACTGACGTGAATTCCCAGCACCGGGCTCTGCCTCTTAAAGGAGCCACCAGGAAATAAAAGCTCGGGTTACCGCGGGCCGCGGGGAAATCAAAAGGCGAGCGGGGGGAGGGGAGGGGCGCGGGATGCCCTCGGGGCCGCCCGGAGGAGGACGCCCTCGGGGGAACCTCGCTGCGTGGCCCCGGGGACTCTCTACCCTTGCTCATCCCGCCCCCGCCACCCCCGGCTTGCACCTCCCGGGGGACCTGGGCCACACACAGTGGGGGCTTTTGTGCGCGCTCCCCGGGGCGCAGATGCAGCCCGGGGGCCGCGGTCTAGGAAGGGGCTTTCCGGGAAGGACGCGGCGCCGCAGGAGGAAGCGAGACAATGGCCTTTGTTCTGCGCGGCGACCGCGGCCGCTTTAAGAGAATCCACCAGGAAATGGGAGCTCGGGTTACAGGCTGCGCACGGGGAAGTGCGGGGCGCGACGCCGGAGACAAAGCCGCGCGGCCGCGCTCGGGCCCGGGGACGCGGCGGGCGGGGGCTCCCCGCGACGGGGGGCGCCCCTCGGCACGACCTCCCGCCTTCCCCGATTCGAAATCCCCCGGCCATTTAAAGCCACAGCGGCCGCTACCAACCGACGTAGGTGACTGGACTACAAAGTTGACAGGGCGCGTTCCTGCAGACCTTAGCCCTCCCCTGGGCCGCTGCTCCGGCTCGGCCATTGGCGGAGGGGATGGCCCGGGGTCCTGCAGAGGAGGGGCAGCCAGAATCCCGGGGCTGAGGCGCTAGCCTGGAGCACCAGCGTTCAGTGATCGCTCTGTTTTTTTATTTCTATTTGTAATCTCTTAAGATGCCCGCTGCAGAAGATGGTGTTTAAATTCTAACCCCGCTCGTACATATAGGGTTTAATGTGTGGACATATGATGCAGGACCAAACGCACTACCATTTTGTCTGTTGACGGTAAAATAAACATAAAAACCTGTTGTGTAGAAACGCATTATATTCGTGTCCCCTGATGAGGTTTTCCAGACTCTCCCCCTCTATTCCCACTGGTTTCTTTCCAGGAGATGGGGAGGAGGCAGGGGTGTTTTGAAGCAAGGTCTCTCATTGTAGTCCTGACTGGCCTGGAACTCAGGCTGACCTGGAACTAGTAAGCCATTCTGCCTCTGATGTTTTTTCTTGCACACTTTTCAGCATCATAAAATACCCTCAGACTTTCACAATACTTCCGTCCATGCATTCATCAGAACACTCTAAAACGACATTATTAAAAGGGTTGGGGTAGGAAGGCACCCCCTTGATGATACGATGGGAACTTTTTTTTTTTTTGGTATACAGGGCACCACAACCAGTTTTGACATCCAGTAGTCGTGTTTCCCAAGAGAACTTATCCGTATGTACTGGAGCTCCCAATACATCTGCATTTACCCATTCTTACCCCCTCACAAATACCTACCTTTTACTCCTGCGTTTTTGCAGCTTTTTGTTGTTTTTGTTTGTTTTGTTTTGATATTCTGAGACAATATTTCCCTATATTGGTTTGGATGCTGTCCTGGAACTCACTGTAGAACAGGCTGTCCTAGAACTCACAGAGATCCGCTTATCTCTGCCTCTGCCTCCCGAGTGCTGGGACTAAAAGGCATGTGCCACCACTGCCTGGTTTTTTTTTTTTTTTTTTTTTTTTTTTTTTTTTTTTGATGCCATATTTGGTTTTTTGTTGAGTTTCTTGTTTGTTTTGAGACAGAGTCTTACACTATAGATCAAACTGGCCTTGAAATTAGATCCATCTGCCTCCTGAGTACTGGGATTAAAGGCGTGCACCACCCCACCCAGACAATTTTTACATTTTCTTGAGCCTGTAGTCCAGGTTGACCTTGACTTGAAGCAGAGAATTATCCCCAACTTATGATTCTGCCTCCACTTTCCAACGACAAGCCTGGGCCACTGTGCGTGACTCCTCTTCCTTCTTTCGAAGGGGAAAGGGTGTTTACATGCCCTTTTATTTGTTGGTTTGTTTATAGTCCTGGAGATTGAACCCTGGCTTCATGCATGTAAGCGAGTGCTCTACCACTGATCTCCCCAGGTAAACAGCTCTTGTTCTTTAAGCGAGTGCTCTACCATTGGTCTCCCCAGGTAAACAGCTCTCAGCTCTCGTTCTTCCTTTGCTTTTCCTTTCAGATGTTTGCAGACACCGGATCTGGTGGGCTTTTGCTGAGTTAAGTCTTTGCCCCCTTACATCACTCATCCAGCAATAGGATCTCTAATAACTTCTCAGCTTCTATGAGATGGGAAGATGTAGCACCTAATTAATGAGGTTTTCATAAATATAAAAGGATATGCCCTGTAATCTTCCCTGATCCATGGAGGATGTATACCAAGAGGCCCAGTGTGTACTTAAAGCCAGACATTACACACATATGTATACATACATACAGACATATATATGTTGTCATATATTTATGTATATATATTCATACATATATGCAATAACGTTTCATTTATAAATTGGGCACAGTGAGAGACTAATCATAATTAATAAATCAGAGCAATTATATTCTACTGTAATAAAAGCTAATAAAACATGCTACTGTGTCTGAAAATTTCCATGTCTGTGGCTAACTGGAGCTGCGGAAAGGCAGCCTGTGGGTATGGGGTACTCCTTTACTAAAAGTTTCTTTAGCAAAACATTGCATATTTCATGTGCTAATTGGTGTTAGCTATGATGATTGCTTAACCTCACAACTGAATTAACTTCCAACTTCTACTCCTGACATGTTTTGGCCTTCTCCCCGTGATTCATAGAGGTGGCAGTTTGAGGTAGAATGTCTGTGGTTCCAAAGTAAAGTACACAGTAGCAGCTATAGCAAAAGCTGCATTTAGCCCACGGTTGACAGGCTCTGCAAAAGGCCCTTTAATAAATACTTTAAGCTTTGTGAGCCAAAAGGCAAAACTGAAGACTCTGTGGAAATACCTACATAATGAGAGGGCTGGAAAGTCCACATATTTTTGACCACTATTTTTTTGTTTTGGAGAAAAGGTTTCTCTCTGCAGCTTTGGAGCCTGTCCTGGAGCTGGCTCTGTAGACCAGTTGGCCTCAGACTCACAGATATCCACCTGTCTGTGCCTCCCTAGTGCTGGGACTAAAGGCATACACACACCACCCGGCCTTAACCAGTATTTTCAGTGCAGGCCTATTAAGGAAAGGAATGAAATTCTCTTAGCAGGGAATAACTTACTGACCTGAGGTTCAAAGCAAGTATCGTTCTTGTAGCCCAAACTGGCCTCTAATCTACACCACAGAGGATGACCTTGGGCTCCTGAGCCTACTGCCCTCACCTCCTGAGTGATGGGATAACCTCAAAATGCTGCCTTTTGGTGGGCAGCCTCTCGGCTGTCCTGTTTCTCCACAGGCATTAGCTCAAAGTCGGTGCATCGGGCAGTTTCTTTTAGCTCCCACTGCCCTTGCATTTATGGTCCTACTCCAGTAGTTACTGGACACCTGTCAGAGTGAGCTGTTGAGGTGGTAGGGCGTTGGGCTATGCTTGCGGCTTGTATTAATTAATTACAAATAAAATGCCAAAAGCAACTTCGGGTGGTATTTTAGCTTACAATTCAGGTCTGTCACGGTGGGAAAGGCATGGCAGCATGAGTATGACACTAGTCTGGTCATCAGAAACCAGAGATCACATTGATCTGTCCATAGGAGGGAGGGGGAGAGGGAGGGAAGAAGGGAGTGTGAGTAAGAGTCGGACTTGGACTTTTTCCAGAAGGCACCTGCTTCCAAGTTATACTGCACAGTGGTAAAATCAACATAATAATGGCACAAAAGCAGGCACAGTGGTCAGAATTAAGATTGAGGACATAGAACAATGGGCACCTATTTTTGTTTGTTTTGATTTTGACAAATTTGCCAAAAATACATACTGGGGAAGAGACAGTATCTTTAACAAATAGTGCTGGGAAAACTGGTGGTCTTACATGTAGAAGTGTGAAACTCTATCCCTTCTCTCTCACCCCAAGCACAAATCCATTGCAAATTGATCAAAGATCTCTGTGATTGACACGAGACACTGAAACTTCTAGAAAATAAGACATGGGTCCCCCAGGAAATGGGACTGACAATCAACAAATGAAACCTCCTGAACTTAAAAAGCCCCTGTACTGGAAGTTAACTACAAATCAAGTGAAGAGGCCGTACACGGGCCAGGGACAAAAATCTTTGCCAGCTGGACATCTGACAGAGGTTTAGTATCTAGAATATGTAAAGAACAAAACAAAACAACCTAGACATCAATAATACAAAAAAACCAGTAAATGGGTATGCTGTGGAACTAAACAGGGAGTTCTTAGAAGAAATTCAAGTGGCTTAGGAATATTTTGAGCAGTGTTCATCTTCCTAGCTATTAGGGAAATGTAAATTAAAAACTACTTTGAGATTTCATTTTACCCAAGTCTGAATGGCTAAGATTAAGAAAGCAAATAATAATGCCAGGTGTGGGATACTTCCTTTCAAATTCTTGGTCAAGGGGATAATAGATACTATTGCCATTGCTCATGGTTGTACACAAGAACTGGATGGATGATGAGACATTGTTGTTGAAGACACCACACAGTTTGATTCAAGACATGGAAAAATAAAGTTGGTACTTACCAGGAAGCTTCTTCCCTGCTGGCTAGCTTTCAAATTATCAATGGGTGATATCCTTTGTGTGTTGGGGTGGGGGAATCATCAACTCTTACTCCGCCTGGGTTCTATAAGAAAGCAGGTTGAGCAAGCCATGAGGAGCAAGCCAGTAAGCAGCACCCCTCCATGGCCTCTGCATCAGCTC